AGAAGAAGGAAAGAAGAAAAAAAAGAAAAAAAAAGAAAAGAGAAGAAGAAAAAGGAAGAGGAGAGAAAAAGAAAAAGGAAAAAGAGGGGAAAAAGAAAAGAGAAAGGGGAAAAATAGAAGGAGAAGAAGTAGAATAATGAAAGAGGCAGAGGAGGAGGAAAGGAAGGAAAGAGAAGATATCAGGATCAATAAGGATGTGTATAACGACAGATGAAACGAACATGACAGGGGTTGAGTGAAGACAAGAGGACGGGAAGGTATGCGGCGTTGATTGCCAGTGGCATATGCCCTTAGAAAGGCAATAACCGTGTTCGATTTAACTCGCTCGGGTCCGAATGCCACACGCGCTCTAGTCTCCTCTTACTTCGCTTCATCGCTGCCAGTTCCTCGTTGAACCAAGGCGCTGGTTTAGCTCGGCTACTTGAGAGGGGACGTTCTGGAGCAATCGTGTTTATTGCCCTAGTCATTCCCCCATTCCAGAGGGATACCAGGGCATCAACAGAATCACCAACCGAGGTGGCAGGAAAATCCCCAAGAGCCATCAGGAATCCATCCGGATCCATTAGCCTCCTGGGGCGGACCAACTTAATGGGTCCTCCACCTCTGCGGAGGTTAGGGGGTGCAGTGAGTCTAAAGCTGACCAGGTGGTGGTCGGTCCATGGCAACGGAGAGATGGATAACTCCTCAACACCGCCACCTTCCTCCCATCCCTGACAGAAAACCCAGTCCAATGTATGTCCAGCACTGTGGGTGGGGCCAGATACTTGTTGGGACAGCCCCATGGTTGCCATGGTAGACATGAAGTCCTGAGCCGCTCCTGATGGCGGCCTCGGCATGGACATTGAAGTCCCCCAGCACAAGCAGCCGTTGGGACTCCAACGCCAGGTCCGAGACCACCCCCGCGAGCTCAGTCAGGGAGTCTGTAGTGCAGCGAGGTGGACGGTACACTAACAGAATCCCTAATCTGTCCCGGTCACCCACCCTCAGGTGGACGCATTCAAAATTTGTTGACTGCGGGATGGGGGCCCTGGTCAGAAGAATGGAATCTCTATAGACCACTGCAACTCCGCCTCCCCGCCCTCCGGATCTCGGTTGGTGCTGCACAGAGAAACCTGGTGGGCAAAGCTGGGTTAAATTTACACCTCCCGCTTCGTCCAACCAGGTCTCTGTGATGCACGCCAGATCTGCCCGTTCATCCAGGATTAAATCTTGGATGAAAGTTGTTTTACCATTGACAGATCTGGCGTTCAACAGCACCACCTTCAACCCAGAGGGACCGCCATCCTGGTTACACCAACTTACCGTATCAGGAGACCGCTTTGGAATTACTAATGTTGTTCCACGTTCCCTAGGCCGAATTAAAGGTCTCCCTTTCCCGTATCTCCCCTCCCCACCACGACTTCTATGGGGGCTCCCCGGTTAATGGAAGCCTCTCCCTCCTCCATGACGCCTTTAAGAGTCGTGATAACAACCCATAATTCATTATTGACTGTTTGATATACTACAGCTTCAGATTGCCATGGCTTCGTCTTCCAGTTGTTTCTTGTTCCTATTATGTTATACTCATGTCCTTCTGGGCTGCTCCTTTCTCTTTCTCCACCAAAAACAATTAGCAGCCCAATTAGCACTTGCCAAGGAATAAATAGTAACATGGATAATAGCTGTAACCACAGTCGAGAGTTCGTTGGAGCTCTTAAAGTGCAAAAACAATTATCTCAACATACGCATACACAACAACACGATGGTATGAACAATTAAATAAGCGGCTAGTTAGTTAGCTCTAAATGCTAAATGAAGTGCGTCATGGAGGGTTTGGTTCAACGCTAGATGGATTAAGTCGATTAAAGTGCTAAGGATAGTTAAAGTGCCACAAAGGTAATAATTAAAGTGCTAATAGAATAAAGTGCTAAAATCACACCAACGATGAGGTACCATTGCATTGAAGTGACTACTGGTTTGCATCCTATTGACATGTTGCATTGAACTCAGCTCTGATTTGCAGCCTGTTGAACTGTTGCATTGAAGTCACTACTGGTTTGCATCCAATTGACCTGTTGCATTGAATTCAGCTCTGATTTGCAGCCTGTTGAACTGTTGCATTGAAGTGACTACTGGTTTGCATCCTATTGACCTGTTGAATGGAACTGAGCTCTCGTTTGCAGCCTGTTGAACTGTTGCATAGAAGTGACTACTGCTTTGCATCCTATTGACATGTTGCATTGAACTCAGCTCTGATTTGCAGCCTGTTGAACTGATGCATTGAAGTGACTACTGGTTTGCATCCTATTGACATGTTGCATTGAACTCAGCTCTGATTTGCAGCCTGTTGAACTGTTGCATTGAAGTGACTACTGGTTTGCATCCTATTGACCTGTTGAATGGAACTGAGCTCTCGTTTCCAGCCTATTGAACTGTTGCATAGAAGTGACTACTGCTTTGCATCTATTGAAATGTTGCATTGAACTGAGCTCTGATTTACAGTCTGTTAAACTGTTGCATTGAAGTGACTACTGGTTTGCATCCTATTGACCTGTTGCATGGAACTGAGCTCTGGCTTGCATCCTGTCAACTTGTTGCATTGAATTGATTCTGGTTTGCCTCCTATTGAACTACGGCAAATAACTAAGGTGTTGTTTGCAGCCTGGTGGTCTTTCCATGGAAATGAGCTTCGGTTTACAGCCAATGAAGCTGTGACTTGTCACTTAATTCAAGCTGTTGCTTTATAGTAGTGCTATGTGATCACCTAGCATTGCCATAAAAATAGCTAAAGGTTATTTGGCCAACGGCTCTTGCGAAGGGATCTTAGGAACTGAAGGTAAAAAAATGCACCTTTTCCAAACCTTTGAACAACACATAGCTATATGACATATTCTTTGTGCTCTTTCTGCAAGCTTATCTGCGATAAAAGCCACTGTCAAAATAAGGCTCTGTTTGTAACATATAATATTCTCGGTGGCAAAGGAAATTAATTCTAAATATGGAAAAAAATATTTATGCTGATTGTAAGGAGCTGGCATTTTTGATTACACACTATGAAGATTTGTCCTAGAAAATTATGGTGCACACATCATCAACACAAGAGCTGTGCATCTAGTTTCCCTCTTCAATGCACCAGCTGGATCTCCTTGTGTGGAGTCCTTCCAGGAATGCTAAAACTCTGCCAACCAGTGTTTCAGGGTGTGAGAATACGATACCCTCCGTTCCTTTGTATTTGCCAAACAGCTGGTTTCAGCCGAAATGCCCTGAGGTTCACACTTTGCACACTCATGTCATTGGTTCTGCATTTTTGGTTACAAATTAGCAGAAACTGTAACCTGAAAGTAACCAGAAGTATTTGCTGATTTTCATTTCCTATATTTTTGACTAATCTTCAGTCAGTTATTTTAGTTTTGAAGGTTTCCAATTAGGTAGGAAATGAATATTGCTACAGTGTTGGGTTTGAAGGGCATTTTTTAAAAAACTGTCAACATCAAGGATCATATTGAGCCTACTGATTGCACTTTCTCCCCATTTGCCATAGGAAAAATACAAATCACCCATTCTATTTGGAAATACTTTGCATCTAGCAGAAGTCAAAGGCAAAAATATGGTCTATCTATGCCAACAGATTTGTAGAAATCTGCAAATTTGGAGTGCCAAATATATGTGTTCAATTCAGTAGACGAGTGCATCAATTCAGACCTGATAAAGAGAGAAATAGGTTGCTGTGAGTTTTCCAGGCTGTATGGCCATGTTCCAGAAGCATTCTCCCCTGACGTTTTGCCCACATCTATGGCAGGAATCCTCAGTTGGAAACTAGTCAAGTGGGGTTTATATATCTGTTGAATATCCAGGTTGGGAGAAAGAACTCTTGTCTGCTTGAGGCATGTGTGAATGTTGCAGCTGGCCATCTTGATTTAATGTCTTTGCATCTTCAAAGCCTGGCTGCTTCCTGTTTGGGGGAATCCTTTGTTGGGAGTTATTAGCTGGCCCACAGACATATAAACCTCACTTGCCTAGTTTCCAACAGACCTCACAGCCTCTGAGGATGCCTGCCATAGATGAGGGCGAAATGACATGAGAGAATGCTTCTGGAACATGGTAACACAGTCCGGAAAACTCACAACAACCCAGTGGTTCCGGCCATGAAAGCCTTCAACAACACATTGAGAGATTATATATTGATATCAATATATAATCTCAGACTTATTTTATGTTTTTATTACCACCTCAACTATTTTTTATTAACAATGCTTGACTGGCTATTTTTTCTGAAGGTTTTCGAAAGTCTAGTTGGTTAATGCACAACTTGACTTGTGTGTGTCCTATTTTGTTGTTATGGAGATGTGGGAGTTCAGAAAGTAGGGACGTTTGTCCTTTCTATTCCCTTCTTTCTCATCAGCATGCTGTGAAAGAAAAACGGTTCAGTTAATTCAATTGCCATTTCCTTCACATTCGAAGTGAATCAAAGGACTCCTCTGCAGGAACTCATGGATTTTAGAATCAGATAAGGGAGTTTGATAAAATCAGTGAATTTCTTGAAGTTGTCTGATTTGTTGAAATTTTCCAGTCTCAAAAACGCTAGTGGAGGCAATTGCATTTGAACGGCACTCAGGTATACTTACAGGTAGGTCTGCTTGAACAAAAGGTTGGAGGGCTTTTCATTGACATGGTAGAGAGGGAATGGGTCAAATCCACCAATGAAATCAACTGAAAGAAAGAAAATTCAAAACTCATGCAATAACAATGAAGTAATCAAAAGGAAAAGGAAAACAAGGTGAGGGTGGCAAACATTAAAACAAAGCATAAGACAATGCAAAAAAAGATGAAAAAGACCAATAATAATAATAATAATAATAATAATAATAATAATAATAATTCCTGTCCTCCAACTTCATGCAAAATGTAACCACATGTAAGTCTTGCTGATTTCAATTAGAAGCATAGCTCGCCCACTTCCCATAAAATAAATTGGATGTGTAATGATGCTTGACACTGGCTCGTTTGCTCTTTGAATGAGTCACCAACATCAAGTTTTTGAAAAGTCGAACCACAAACATCAAGTGTTTGCAATGTTGAAAGGAAATTCTGGTAACCTGGGAGGGATGAGCAGTCAAGGGGAACAACACATTGAAAATTGTGCTTAGTCTTGCACCGCTGCAATGAATGGGGAAGATATGGGATCCAATGTGAACCAGGGCTCCAAGGACTGGGACTCCAACCAAAGTTAATTGCATAGTGGGACAGAGACCAATTTCTGTCCCACTCAATTTCTGTCCCCAAAATTTGTAAGTTACCATGTTATAAACTGGTGTTCATGACCACAGAGAAAGGGATGTGGCACAGGGGCAACATGGCATTGCAAAGGGTGCAGATTTAGCCCAAGTGTCTGAGATATCCTTCGCTACTGACTGATATTTAATTGACTGAAGCTCATGAAGCTTTCCTTCAACTGTGAATCCTCAAAAGGAGACACTTCCATCTGTTACCACATATATGAATCATTATCTGCCCTGTATCTTTTGATCCACACGTCAAAATAAATTATTAGACCATACTGTGTCCACATTTTAAGGTACAACAATATAATTTTCATTTTCTGAACTTTAAGGTACAACAATATAATTTTCATTTTCTGAACTTTAAGGTACAACAATATAATTTTCATTTTCTGAACTTTAAGGTACAACAATGTAATTTTCATTTCCTGGAATGGAATATGCATTTTCCAATGCAACTTCTACACAGTAACCATGAACTCAGGAACTGAGGATACATTTGATATGTAGAATTAATGCAGTTTGACACCACTTAACTGCCTTAACTGCCATGGCCGGGCATTTAGGCCAGGCTTTAGCTCAGCTGGTTAATCACCAGCAGCAATAGATCTTTCCTAACCAAAGGTTGGCAGTTTGAGCCTGGGTCAGGGTGAGCACAGGTTGGCTGAAAAGGGCAATTTGGGGGCCAAAAACACATACAGTCATCCCTCCACATTTGTGGTTTTGACTTTTGCATATTTGATTATTCATGCATTTGGTTAAAATGTTCTGTCTGTAAATCTCTATATCCTGCAGTGTGACTCTAAGGAAGGCACGGGCAAACTTCGGCCTTCCAGGTGTTTTGAACTTGAACTCCCACAATTCCTAACAGCCTTGGTCAGACCATACCAGGAATCATACTGTGTCCAGTTCTGGGCAACACAATTAAAGGGAGAAGTTGATAAGCTGGAATGTGTCCAGAGGAGGACGACTAAAATGATCAAGGGTCTGGAGAACAAGCTGAGCATGAGCAGCTTAAAGAGTTGGCATGTTTAGCCTGTAGAAGAGAAGGCTGAGAGAGTGATGATAGCCCTGTGAGCTGAGAGGAGGGGATTGAGAGGCAGGGGATGAGGAGGAGATGGAGGGAGGAGGAGGGAGAGATACATGGTGGCCAATGATAACCATGTAAAAATATGTGAGGGAAAGTCATAGGGAGGAGGGAGCAAGCTTGTTTTCTGCTGCCCTGGAGACTAGGACGCAGGACAATGACTTCAAACTATAGGAAAGGAGATTCCACCTGAACATTAGGAAGAACTTCCTGACTGTGAGAGATGTTCAGCAGTGGAACTCTCTGTCCTGGAGTGTGGAGGAGGCTCCTTCTTTGGAGGCTGGATGGCCGTCTGTCAGGGATGCTTTGTTGATGATTTTCCTGCTCCTTGACAGGGGGTTGGACTGGATGGCCCACAAGATCTCTTCCAACTCTATAGTTCTATGATTCTAAGTCCAAAACACCTAGAGGGCTGCTCATGCCTACTTTAAGGTTAACTCTCTCAGCCCAACGTTATTCTATGGTCAGTTTCCATTCTATGATCAGAAGTTGACCATATAGTCATGCAGGAAGAGTTAGAAATTCCCCAAGAGGTGTTATTTCACATAAAGATCCATCAGCATCTTTATTAGCACCTTTTCACTTTCATGGGGGTCCTGTTCTTCTAGCACCAGCCAATCTGGAGAGCTGACTGTACAAATAAATGACACAATGCAGCCTTCTAGCGGCTGGATGGCCATCTGTAGGGGTGATTTGAATGCAATATTCCTGCTTCTTGGCAGGGGGTTGGACTGGATGGCCCATGAGATCTCTTCCAACTCTTTGATTCTATGATTCCAAAGACCAAAAATGGGATGATGTTGTATTCTAGTCTCTGGAAGGAACACACTCTTGCTCTGAGGGAAGGCATAAACATATCCAGGAAAACCCACAAGGTTTGCAGACATACAAAATCTTTAGGGCAAAGCCCAAGGGGCCAACAGTCTGAAAACACCTTGTTCAATCACCAAGGAAAATTGATGAGTGGTTGCAGAAGGCAAGAAATTGGGATGGAGCAGAGTTTACTAGAGAAAGCAATGGCTGGCTAGAATGCCAAACCGTGACTCATTATGTGATCCTCTTCTTAAATTGGCACTGGTTCAGAGCACATTTCTCACCCCCAAATTCCATGCCCGCTAATTAAAAAAAAATCACGTGATCTCCTGGTAATGCGCTTCCACGTTCCTAATGACTTCCTGCTTCATATCAAAGGAACAATATCAAAGAAAGCCACAAATGGGAGAGAAAATTAAAAGGCTGCTGAAATTGGTTCAGGTCACGGGAAGGCTCTGCTGTGGAGAGTGTGAAATATTGATGGTTTGTCAGTGTTAATTATTGAGGCTGGCATTTTGGGCTTGGAATCCAGGAAAGAGCAAAGAGGCGGAAGGACTGGCTGGGGATGTGGAGAGGAGGAGGAAAAAGCCGCCGTGGATTTAAATGTAAATCACTCTAATTGTAATATATTTTTAAATTACTCATCATCGTCATCATCAACAGCAATGGCACTACCACCAATATCTCTGTTTCCCCCTCTTAAAACTGGATTCAAAGCATCTTACACATCAAAACAAATAGAACATGATCAAAACACACAAAGGGTGCATCTACACTGTGGAATTAATGTAGTTTGATGCCACTTTAGTTAACATGGCTCAATGGTATGGAATCATGGAAGTTGTAATTATAAGCTAACCAAAAGGTGCAAAAATACATCATATAAGCTGTTAGAAATTGTGGGATTTGAAGTCCAAAACACCTAGAGGTCTGAAGTTTGCCCGTGCATGTGACAGAGAGATATTTGATGTGGGTAAAGGTCATATCCTTGATTGCATGAGGAATTTTTCCAAGGTAATATTTTTGTTTTGGAGCATCTGTGCAAAACCAAAATTGCTTTGTCGAAAACAGGATGGGGATTTTCTTTGTATATGCATTGTCTTCTGTCAAAAATGCTGTTTTTTTAATATTGCGTGTATCTGCCAATGAGTTGCCTGTTGACCTATGGCAATTCCATGAATTTTATAAGTTTTTCTATACTACTGAAAGGTGGTTTTGCCAGTTCCTTCTTCTGAAATAGGGCAAACAAAAGTTCCTTATATTGTTGTATGCCTTTGGTCATTTCCTACTTGTGGCAACCATCAAGGAACACTGTAACAGTGCTTTTCTTGAGGTGATTTGTTCAGAGACACATTGCCATTGTCCTCATCTGAGGCTGAGAAAGTGTGACTTGCCTGAGGTCCCTCCATGGCAGTGTTTCTCAACCTTCCTAATGCCGTGATTCCTTAATACAGTTCCTCATGTTGTGGTGACCCCCAACCCATCAAATTCTTTTTGTTGCTACTTCATAACTGTAATTTTGCTACATTTATGAATCGCAATTTATATATCTGATAGGCAGGATGTATTTTCATGCAATGGACAAAATTTGGCACAAATACCCAATACGCCTAAATTTGAATACTGGTGGGTTTGGGAGGATTGATTTTGTCATTTGGAAGTTGTAGTTGCTGGGATTTATCGTTAAACTACACTCAAAGGGCATCCTGAACTCCACCAACGATGGAATTGAACCAAATTGGCACACAGAACTCCCATGAGCAACAGAAAATATTGGAAGGCTTTGGTGAGCATTGGCTTTAAGTTTTGGAGTTGTAGTTCACCTACATCCAGAAAGCACTGTGGACTCAAACAATGATGGATTTGGATCAAACTTGGCACAAATACTTAATATGCCCAAATATGAACACTGATGGAGTTTAGGGAAAATGGACCTTGACATTTGGGAGTTGTACTTGCTAGGATTTATAGTTCACCTACAATCAAAGAGCATTCTGAACCACACCAATGATAGAATTGAGACAAACTTCCCACAAAGAACCCCCATAAGCAACAGAAAATACTGTGTTTTTTGATGGCCTTTGGCAACCCCTCTGACACCCCTTCATGACCCCCCAGGGGTTGAGATACACTGCTCCATGGGCTTCCAAGGCAGAGCAGGGATTTGAACTCTGTCTCCAAAGTCAATAGTCCAATGCTCAAAATACTACACCACATTGACTTTCATGATTTGTTCCCTATCTACCAATCAATACATTTAATAACACAGTATTTTTCAAAGCTCTTTTGTGTTTTTCTTATGAAGTTATCTTCACCTGGGTGGAGAAAATACAGTGAAATAGAACAGCCATATCATTATAAGCATTTTAGGGCACTGTAAATTTAAAGGTTGGCTCTGAGGCCACCTTGATCAATAGAAGCACCAGGAAAAACAGAGCTTCAGGCAGTTCCTAAGAATGATGGCTGGTGGGAGAGTGCCGCCCCTTCAATTCATGATGCACTTGCTCTGAACCACTCAAAATAAATACAGC